CCCCAACTCTAAGTTAACTTCTACTTAAAAGTCAGTCTATGACATCCTAATCTAAGAAGTTATCTGTGCTTATGGTTTCAGCGCAGTTCTGCAGAAGGCCAGTACGGCTATTTATAAACCGGATTTTGAGATTCTGTACCGTTCTTATACAAATCTTACAGGTCGAAAGAAAAGGAATAGTTAGTAAGAAGACGAACGATTGAAGCAACTGTTTTATAGCACAATATGAAACTTGACACTGTTTTCTGCTGCCAGTATGATTCCCAAGTGAGATGGATAAATTGTGGTCAAGACCTGGACAGGTTAACTAGTGGTCATCAGTGCTGGTGGTACCTTTATATACAAAAAAAAAAAAAAAAATGGATACTATTGGACAGGGCATTTGAAATTTAATACCAGACATGAAACAAGACATCTGTTGGACTCTCATTTGTTTCTCTTTGAATGGGCTTTAATTGAAAGCTCAGTGAAAAATGCAGGTTACATTCTTAGTGTTATCAATAGTTTGTAACAGCAACAACATCAGAACAGTGATGCATCTAATATTTATACACTTTCTAATTTTAGATGTCTAAGAGCAATACATTATCAGATATATATATACACACAATTTCAAGCAATTAAAAGTAAATAATAAACCCCTCCTCCCAAAACCCTGAAACAATATATTTCCTTACACTAATAATGTCTTTTTCACATATACTTGACAAAGAGTCTTTTTAAGTTACTTATCTTAAGAGTAATCTGTTAATGGAGAACCTGGACCAGCCCCATTAGAAGTTCAGTTTTAAGTTTATACAGCTTGCTAGCCACATAACCAGTGTGGCTTTACATTGTAAACAAATCCCAAATGTCTACAATGATTGGAATTAGTTTTGTGTAAAAGAGATCTATGCATCTCATGATAGAATAAATTTAAACGAATACATTAAAAAGAGAGAAAGGGAGAGAGTTATTTGACAAACAAAACAGTTTGGGGGGATCACGTATGTGATTACTTAAAAAACAAGTTAACTTAATGGTAAGATTCTTGTTTTCTGTACAGAGAGGCTCTGGTTCATCTATCTTTAGCTGCTCTAGAAATACGTTCTTTAAAAAAAGGTTCGAGTTGTGAAATTCAAAAGCAGAGCTTCGCGCTTTAAAAGCTTGCCCTTTGGCAGTACGAGTACAAAGTTTACCAAAAGCATCTTCGGTGATTGTTCTGTCTCGTTTTGTGAGGATAGCTGTGCTAGCATTTGGAAACCTCAGCATATGCAGAGATGCAGTGAGCCTAAAGCTTACCTTCAGCCGGGAGGAATCACCCCTACCCACTGCAGGACTTAAAAAAGGCACAACAATGTGTACCTAGAAAAGTTCAAGTGAAAATAAAACCAGAAAACTGGAGACAGATGTGGAAGGTAAGCATAGTTTATAGTAATCTTGAAACTGTGGCAATCTTGCTTACTTTTTAGCAAAATTACAAATAAAAATCTCTTCAACTTATTGAATAGGAACTTGTGTAAGTCCAAATGGAAGACAAGGCTGAGCAGAATCCTACGGTTTAGTTAACTTGTGTCAAATGGGATGCGAAGACAGCTGCAGCACTCTGACAGAGGTGATCGAAGATAGCTGATAAAGTTTGCAGTAGCTCATAATGTCCCATCTGGTTTATTCACTCGTTTGAACTGTCTAAAGGGCCAACTGCAGTTTAGTCATGTTCCTCTGGTGCATGTTGTGATGACGAACTAATTCATCAGACCTGGCAAATTTTTTTTGACAGCTGGGCCACCGGCAACTGAAAGGCTTTTCACCTGTTAACAAAACACCCTGTTATTAACTGGGCATACAGCTCGCCTGAGACACTGCTATTTGTTTTCTTTCTGCAGGGTTGTGAGGAGCCCCCGTCAGGAGGAGAGGCATCCCTGGCTGTCCTGAGAGGGTGTGGGAGTGCCCTCAAGTCCTGCTCGCATCAGCACTCACTGCTTTCTTACATCTCCCGCAGCTGATGTTTAACCACAGCCTTGTCCGATGATGTAGAACATTTTGCAGTGCTTCGCTCCTGAAGACAGGCCCTTACTGAACACCGTGTTGCCATGTCTATGCTACTCTCAGCTCTCAAACAAACTACTTTAAAAGTCACTCTGGCATTCGCACAAGCTTCAGTCACACCTTGGGCTGTGGTGTAGACATACTGTTAGTCACTCTGAAAATAGTCAGTGGCTATTTAGAGCTTGACCTCAAGGCAAGGAGAGATTTTCCAGTTAGTTCAATGAATTTTGGCTGAAGTTCTTTGAAACTGGTGAGTGTAAGTGCATATGGTAGAAGCAACAGAGTTCAGCGTGAAGTCTGCTGACCCAGACTCAAAGTTTCCCACTGCTGTCTAAATAAAGTAGATTTGCATCTATGGGATATCTTCAAGGCTCAAAATATTCAATATTTTTCTAACATTCCCATGAGCATACTATTCACTAAAAATGACCCCAAGCAAAGCACATTCAATTTTAACAAGAAATGCCCTCACCTTTTTACAGTTTAATCTGGTCTCTTGATTTTCTATAATGTTTAATTGGAATTTCAGGCCGTGTTTCTGATGCTGCTGGAATGCTGATGGAATGCTTTCATTAGCTCAGAGCAGTGCCCAGTGATTCATGTGTCTTTTAGAATTGCATTTTCTTTTTTTTTTTTTCCCCCCCAAAAATATGCAATATTTTAAAGTAGGTTCAGCTCTGGGGCTGGGCTCTTCAGTGCTGTCTACACGCCTCGTACTTTCCAACTCAAGAGACACTGGGGTGGTACAATTTCACCCAGACATCTTCTCCTCTTCTTTCCCTCACATTTTGTGCGTTTCACAAACATCTAAATTCAGATCATCTAAACATCTAAATCTAAATTAAAGGGGAACTGGGATTGGCATAAATGTGTATTTCTGTTTGCAAAATCCCATGCAATATATTTAAAGGAGGGCGTGTGTTTAAAATCTACTTTATCCACTTAACATAAGCAAAAGCATCAACTATCTCACATGAGTGCATAAAACAGTATGGGACAAAACTGATCCGGTCAGAGCTACCAATAAAAGTCACAGATTGTATAAAGTGGTCTTCTTTCATCTCAGCAGCATTAGCAAAACCATCCTGTGAACCAACGCGAGTTAGCTATTACTGGCCAGTTTTCAGTTCTGCTGTTTCACAAGCAATTCTGGTTGTCCTCTCACAACGGGGGGCAGCAATCTCTATTAGCTCTGTGCTGGGCACAAATTACTGTGTACAGCTCCACTGGGCAGATATCAGAAATCACACTCCATTGCTAAAAATGTATAGAGATGTATGGAGTTTTCCTTTGATTCATTTTTTTTGCTTTCTACAGCAAAGATTTGCTGTCACAGTAAAACCCCTTGTGGAGACAAAAACCCCTGAATTTGTAGCTTAACAAATAGTTTGGCAGTTCACTTAGGATGGAATTAGGTGGAAGTCACCCGTGCTTTGCTTCATCAAGGTTTGACATGGAGCACGTTAACTTGAGCTAGGTGTTTTGTTGCAAAATTCGGGGGGTACAAGAAAGAAAGAGGAATGAAGCTACAGGGCAAGATGGAGACGAAAAGTCCCCCATCCACCACTCGTGCTCATTCCCCTCAGGATATGTGTATTTTGCAGTCAAAGAGCATGACACATCCAAAACCGCTGACAGGAGGATCATCACAGCAGCGCGCAGCTGGGCTGCAGAGCTCGCACAGAACCTGAGCCAGCGGCAGGCAGCAAACCCACGCAAAGGTCTGTGCTATGAGGTTAGCAGTGCTCCAGTGAGGCTGCTTTCAGCAACGAGTGCAGCGTGGGCTTGGATCACATGGAGCAAGGAAGAACTAGAACGGGGAGATGAGTTTCACTAGAAAAAAGAGAGCAAGCTCTCCACTGGTTTAGCTAATCCAGGGTAAAAAATTACTGGAGTCACGAAAGTCTTGAATTGGCAGATCAGTTAGCAATGAAATGGGATGGGGAATGTAGTTAATCCTGACTTGCTGGCATGTGACAACCACTTGCCATTTTGTCGCCACCAGAACATTACCTCTTGCTGATGAAGAAAATCTCTTTCTTCATGCAAATGCACACAGACCCAGGCCCGGCAGCTCAGCATGAGGCTCCGGGGGGATCCCAGGAACACAGCCATGCCCTTTACCATGTGCACACTGCAAGGGCAGATATGGCCAGTACTTGAAGCATTTATTTGGCTGGTGCCACAGAAAATGCCATTGTTCTCAGGTGAATTATTTCCTTTATTAAAATATCTTTTTTTATTATTTTTTAAAGTCTTAAGTATGTGTTTTTATGGTCCGGAAGAGAAAAAGTAATCCTTAGCAGGGAGAAAAAGATTTTCAGGCTCCTTTTCCATCTGTACAGAGACTGAATTTAAAAGGTTAACGCCAGTATAGAAAACACTGTGACATTTAATAACATGTCAAAGTGCTCGGTAAACAATTACTTGGTAAAAATACTGCATGCGTAGTGAAGGGAACAGAAAATGTCAGTTCATAGGAATAATTCTAATACTTAAAACTAAAATATAGAGGTTGCTGCAGTTGCTCCTTAATGGTGTTTACATTTACGTGAAGGCAGAGTAGGCTAAAATGGCCTCCTATTTTTTTCCCCTGTATTTATATGAAATACTACGGTTTCTGCAAAAAGGTCCTTGAATATTTGAGTAAGCTTTTACTTTAGTGTCTGTCAGTGTGAGTTTGCAAAAGGCACTCCTTTTATCTTCTGGAGAGATTACAGTATAAGCAGCAACAGCAAGAGCTTTGCCGTGCTATCCTGCATTAGGCTCAACTGACACTTAGGAGAAGCATGAGTAGGCATGAATACTTTAGATTACAGACCTTCGGCTGAAGCTAGAATTAAAATTTCTGTCTTGCAGGGTTTTTTCAGTAAAGGCAGTAGATCAACTTGACATTTGTGGGCTGAGACCATGATGTTCATTTCACAATAGCTGACAAAATGTATTTTGCCAAGCTGAAATTTCTTTAAACACGAGGAAAGAAAGCGGAGTTTCCAAAATTACCTAAAGCCCTTTGTGAAGAGTGACTATGACACTTGGGGAATGTAGTCACACTGAAAAATCAGCACACTCTGAAACTCTTTCTTTTGCTTTGAATATTTAACTCCCAGCTAAGAGACTTTCTAATCATGTAATTTACAACAACATTGATTTAGACTTAAAAAATAATGAAATATAAATGTGAAGAAAAGTTTACGCACTTGTTTTACCTGTATGAGTCCTGGTATGAGTCTTCAGATGATCAGATCTGGAGAACTTTCTCTGACAGGTTTTACACTGGAAGGGCTTCACACCTGAAAAGACAAAAGAAGTCTCTTCTTATATCCCAACACCTTTTGGGAGGGTGAATAAAGTCAGCTATTTCTGAATTTTCAAAAGCCCGGATTTTTTTGTACTAGTTACTGTAACTGCTCCTCCCAGCTTCATGCCGACTCATTACAGAAAGTCCCTTTGTAACCTCTTCTTCCGATGTCTGGGTCTGAAGCATCCAAATAGCACCATCATAAACAAACACCCACTGACACTGGTGGACTAAGGAGGATCTGCAAACTTTGTTAATTCTGATCCTGCGGCTTGGAATTATTGGCATCATGTATGAGCACATATGACATAAGAAGAATAGAGGCGCAGAGGTATATTTTTATATACTCCCAATAGGCTGAACTTACTTTACACTTCTACTAAATACTTTACACACTACACGTAATTCTTGGGGACTGCTTAACGCAGATATGTTCTAACATGCAGTTGATAAAAATGTATCATGCCAACAACTCTCAGAGACACTTCCTACATCTCTCAATAACAACGTTTAAGTGGGATAGAACATCCTTATTAAGAAAAGTAGTAGGCAGAAATCTACCACAGAACAGTGAGTAAACCAAGTCAGGCTACTCCCTGAAAAACAGGAGACCCAAATGCAGTTTCTTGCTGTGTCTCAGTCAGAGAAATATTCTGAAGCCCTTTCTCATGTTCCACGCAGAGTGCGCTCACAGTTCCACTCCCAGACAGGAGGCTGGAGTCAGCACCACCTCCTCTCCTGTGCCTTTGAGAAGGGCAGCTGTCTCCCTCGTCCATCTAACCTAGACCTCCAAGAGCTCCTGAAATGCTGAAATGGGCTGTCTTGATGTTTCCAGAAAATGGTGTATGCACACAAAACAACATGCTTAATTTGGACTGAACTCACAAGTAGTTTTGGCTATCTCGGAACATTTCACCCAGCAAATGATTCGCTGAGACAGATGCAGAAGCCTAGCCAGGACCCAGACCTGTTCATGACTGCTGCTGCCCTCACCACTGGATGTGAACTGCTATACACTTTCCAGACTATTTGTGCAATCGAACCAGCCAGATCTGTGATGTTTCTCCCCTTGCTGCTCCTAGAATCCTTCTCTAGTTGGCAGAATTCAAAAAAGGCTCAACTCTAAGCTAAAATGGTTTGCTGAATTACCATTTTAAGCATATTAGCTGGTGTGGCTTCTTCTTCTCCACTTCTGGTTCCTACATGTAAGTGTACAGTAATTGCACCGGCCTTTTACATTACGCGGCTGCAGCATTCACCTATTAGCATTGCCACACGAACATCGGAATAACAACAGTAGCAACAGTAGCATTTACTTATTGGCCACTTTTTCTTGCAGAACTGTTTTTTAAAGTAATATGTTGCCTATATTTGGGATACAGTATAGATCCAACAGTTTAATTAAGAAAGCTGTTTCAAAAAGAAGGTGGCAGGATGAAAGGGTCACTTATATAACCATAGTAGTGCCAAAAGGCCAATAAAAAAGAACCCAAACAGCTACAGTCCTCTCCTAAAGCTAACTTCCAGAATTGGGCGCTATGGGTATCCTGTATGAGCAGACACAACATCAGAAAAATAGTTTAGAAGTATACTTTTCGGATCACAATTCACATACAAAGATGACCTCTAATGAGCAGAGATGTGTGGTTCACAAACCTGTGTGTCGTCTTTGGTGCCGTTTGAGTTGGTCTGAACGAGAAAATCTCCGTTCACAGTCCTTAAAATCACACTGATAAGGTTTTTCACCTGTAAAGGACAAACAGTTTATCAGAAAATGCAGCTAAATGAGGGAACACGTCAACCAGAATCAGAAGATGAAACACGTCACACTAAAAGACTTCTCTCCTGTCTAAAGCCATCTAGTGGTACAGCAGGACTCATTTGCTATAAAAGCACACATCTGTGTTGGAATCGGTGGGGAAACGCTGGCATAATTCTACTGCATTGATACTGATATTGAATCTGCTCATTCTACAAAAATAGCCCATTACGTTAAAGCTACCAAAAAAAATCAGGTCACATGAAATTTTTTTATTGTTTTCTGCTGGAAAAGAACAGAAATCCCTTGTTTTATATTTCTCAAAAAAAAAAAAAAAAGCATTAAGCCCTTTCCACCTGTTTCAGTAATATATAATTTGTACAAGGGAACAACTTGTAGTTTGCTCTAAATTGGATTTGAGGCAAAAACAAAACGAATGACATCGACGTAGGTGGTAGTTTTAACCATACTAAATGGATTAAAAGAAAATGAAGAGCAAAATTCAGAAAAATACATTCTTCCCCAAAACACAAATGATGTTTCTTCCATAAAGCACCATTAAATAGAATTTCTCACATAGCTGCACACCTCCCGCTGGCAAGCCTATGAATTACTGCAAAGCCTCATGTAAATATAAAATCTTCCTCCACCTCCCATACAGTTCAGCAGAGGTCCTCAGGATGGGTTTTGTCCGGAACAAATAGTGAGATTCTGACTTCTTAAAAAAATGAAATCCTTACAAGCTGGCTTCTCAAATGAACATGGTCCTCAAGGCAAAGGACTTTACCAACCACATAAACATGCAAAAAGAAATGCAGCAATCTAGGAGCTTGAGGGAAGAGAGAAACACTGCTGGCATGTAGCATACCACAGAGTTGGTGAAATTTGGCCAGCACAAAACCACTAATCTCTATGCTGTTACAGGAGGAGCTGTATGATCTTTCAGATCTGAATCGCATCTAGTCTAAGGCCCCTTTGCATAACACTGGAATCCTGCAAGAGCCTCAGATATAATTACATTTGTACCTACACAAAGTCCATTTCCAGTGCCACAGCCCTGCTCAGAGACCTCAGCACAAGAAGTAATGAAACATCTCTCACTGCAAAGCCGTGAGAATCCTGGGTTTTATCTGGAAGGTACACACGAGACCAGCTGGGACCTGCTTTGTCTACGGTGGAAAGCTGAGATGTAAAACAAAGGTCCGGTAGGAAGGATCTAAAGAAAAACATCAGCTGAAGTGGGCAGTGAATTTAATTTCTCTAAGTAAATTTTTAAACACGTATCACTTTCATAAATCTTCATTGCAAGTGTCTGCATTTCTGATTTCATTATGATGAGAAAACGCATTCTGGTTTTTAGTTTAAAGCAGAAGCATTCTGATCTAGGTAACACCGTATAAGTAGCATATTATGAAGAACTTTCCAAATTCATAAAGGTGTGGCTAAGATCAAAATTTCACAAAAGCAACTAAATCTGCAAGAACAAGCTAACTTCCTGTGACAGTCACCCAAAGGAGTTTACTGATTCTCAAACCTAGGTGTGGACAATTTCCATGTCTGCTGTGCTTAATTTATTAGCATAAGGGATTAAAGTTGCCACAGGTGTTTGAAATAGTTCCGTACACTTTGACCGCAAGGACTCCCTGGGGGGTGCCTGCTTTTCAGAAACCACTTACTTCCAAGGAATTCAGCCCTTTGGCAGATTTAAGAGGGGGAATGTCAGCAGAGCAGAATGCAGTGACAGGATGATTGTCTGCTAATTGCAATATAAACGCAGAAGATGGTTAAGGAGGTATTTGAATAAAACAGTATAGCGGGTCTGATGGCATGCACACTGAATTATTTCTTGAAATATTTTGAAATATAATCTTGATTAAATTAAGGACAAATTTAACCAATGCATATATTAAAGGAATCGATCCAAGATGCTTACACAGAGATATGATGACACTGTGTAGAAAACAAAAAGCAAACAAACAAAAAGAGGCACAGTATGTGGACAGAAATCCTTATTTCCCTTTCCTTCTACATCTTCCACATCAGTTAGTGCCAAGCAAAACGGCTGCCAAAGCCAACTGTCACGTACCTCTTTACTCCCACAAGTTTCATCAGAACAGGATGACAGAAATGTCCCAGATTAGAAAAAGTCTGTTAGTACCTCATCAAATCACTATGCCGAGAGGGGTTAGAGCAGTGTCTAGTTTCCCCAGGCCTGCTGAAGCCTCGTTAACGGAGTTTCTTCCCATTATTTTGTCCAGTTGTTTCTTGAACACACATAAGCTTTCAGCTTCCACACTATCCTGCAGAATGGTATTCCACGGCTTGAGTACGAAGGTCAGTATTTCAAAGTACCACTAATGACAGAGTGCTATCCTACAAGTTACCACACCAGGCTCTTAAGAGGAGAGCCTGTGCAGTTCCCAGCTCAGGCACAACTACACCCGTTTATCAATTTATCATCTCTGTATATAGAGGACATAGCTCTGTCTTTCAAAGGCATTGTAATGATGAACCGCCTTAATGACTGTAAAGCATTTAGCAGCACAGTGGCACATGTCATAGTGAAAGGATATTTGCTTTAGTCGAAGCAAAGAAATCATTGTTAGATGATAAGCATAAAAACCATTATTAGACTGCATTACTTATATCCCCAGAGCCTCAGCAATTCACCACCGAGACCTGAGTGTCCTACCACATAAAGGACAACCTTCCTGATTTACAGATTCTCATACCCCATTGTAGAAGCTCATACCTGCAGCTGAACATATTTAGGCTGAAGAATATCCCTGGCAAACAGGCAGAGAAAATTTTCTCTGCAAAGATGCTTAGCTTTCCGTTAGGATAAATCCAGTTTGTCCAATGTGTGGCACTGAACCCAAAGGGTCTCTGGCAAGAATGCTGATGTTTTCACCATAAATGAAATTTATGGAGGTCTAGATATCAATTTGTTTCTGCAAAGAAGTCTCTGAAGTCTGCCACAGGATGACAACTCACATTATTTGCTGAAAAGTTATATGTATTTTTGCATTTCCTTTCAGGGGCCTATCTACCGCAGCAAAATACACCGAGATAAGAAAAAAGCTTTTTTGGCTGTACATGTTTCAATAAAGGCATTGTTAAAAATGGATAAGGAGTCTTGGAGGGTACAAAATGTCAACATATTTTCAACTAAGGCTATATTGAAACATTGGTAAAAACTGATTACAGAATCCAACTTTGTGTTTCAGGACCCTGCTTGATTTTGCAATACTACAACTGGTGAAGAATGGAAGACCTCATGATCCAGTCCTCTGGAAGTATCTATTATAGAAAGAAAAGATAATCAAGTGCCAACATTATTCTGCAAAGATACTATCTGCTGGTTTAATGTTAGATGTATGTAACAGCTTATTTTCAAATCATGTGTTCATAACCAAAAAAAATGACCTACCACTACACTAAGAAAGGTGGAAGAGCTTCAAACCCATGAGTGATCTCAGAACCACCTTACAGGAGGACTAGTAAAATTTTATGTTGGCTGTAGAGGTATACCAAACACAACCAAATTATCCTCCACTTGAGCTGACATCTAACAGCTCTCCTGACTTTACACTGGCTTGTCAGGATTCCTCCTCATCAAAACACTGAATCGGAAGAAGAAAAGACATCAGTAAGAATATTAGGTGTTATGTTTGCCAACTGCTTTCTATCTAATATGCTAACTCCACCAAGCCCAATTTCGGTATCTAGCAGAGAATTCTAGAATGGGGCTTTGGCGTTCATTGGGTTACAAACAGAAAGATGATCAGAGAGCCTAAGAGACAGCCACATAATTATCAACATAAACCAATAGCCTCACCCGAGTCATACCAGCCTCTTAAGATAGCCCCTAACATATAAAAACAAGCAGGTGGAGAAAAGAAAGAAGGTGCAGAGAAGTGTGAACTGTAGATACCATAACTGTTATCAACAAGACACACACGTTCTTCATAGTGATGATTTCCTTTACCCTGTTCTGCTACAATGTAAACCAAAGGAGGGGCACATATGACCTCAAAGACAGCACGAGAAGTCTTGCTAGTGATGCCAGATGGCCATAGTCCTATCCTCTATGTCTTTTGGGGCTTTTCTGACTCTACATGCCTAGATTATTTGTGGTGTAATTCTGAAAATCTTCTCAAGACAAGGAAAAAAAAAAAGGATGTAAGATGATGCACCCTTGTGATGCATCCAGAAATAATATTGCAAAAGCCAAGCCACTAAGTGAAACAAAAAAATGGACCAGAGTAAAGAAATTATGACTGTTAAAATAAAGGGTAAATAAATTTATGAGAAAAATTCAGAACTGTTCAGGCATACTCAAGAAAAATACTGCAATTAATGGACCCCAAAAGATCTCCAATTTTTCTTGTTTCAAATTTATTTACAGAAAATAGAATAGCATTTCTGTAGACCTTCATCTCTAAATTCCAGTTAAAACATAAATTATCTTGAATGTGTAATCTGAGCAACACTGAAGATGTCTATCTGATTATTTTGTGACTTGCCCATTCAGAAATTAAAAACGCTTTGTAATGTTCATTTCTCACCAATAAGTATTTTACGCAATTAACTAATGTCACCGCATGGTCTCCAAAAGGACAAGTGTGCACCTATTTTTTATTAAATGTTCGACAGTCTGCTAGGTCACAGCAGCATGGACTGCCTTCCTGTTGTCTGTTTCATCCCTTTGACCTTCTGTCATATTTACGGCTAACTGAACATCCGTATTTACAGATTTTATCCACAGATTTCTAGATTAGCACAGAAGAACCGTCTAAATAAAAACATGATAGGCAATCAAAAAAATGCATAATATCTAAAGGTGTATCATAATTTTACATTTCCAACAGTATAAATTTTCCAATAGGGAAAATAATTCTGTTTACTCTTTGGCAAGGTGCAACGGGGCATTTGATTTCCACATTTTGAGGTGTAACATATCGCCTGAAGTCAGAGAGAATCCAGATCTCAGCCTACAAATGACTGGCTTCGGGCTCACTTCTTCATGGAAAGATCCCATAGCAAGGAAGGTCATTTGCCAATCCCTGCCTCCACCCCCAACCAGAAAAGGCTTTCACAGGAGGACAAGAGGATGCTAAATGTCTAGGTTCCTCTTGCAGAGGAAACTTCTTAAAAGAAAAAAGAAGATTCACATCCCTGAATGATGCCCTCTAACAGTAAGAGAGGGAGGGAGGTGATCTACTTGCTGTCAGTGCTGCTCTGTGTTTTTCCTCACTAGATTCAGAGAGTCTTCTGCATCCAAAAGAGGGACTGCCCAGATAACAGAGCACATGCGTACTCATCTGACAGATTCTCACTGCCCCTGACCAGGCAGATAATTTCTTGCACCTTATGCTATTTTAAAATCACCCTACCCACTTTGCTGTCCGGTGCTGCAATGTGATTTATACCAATCTATGTTGACACTTACCAGTGTGCTTTCTGCTGTGCATCTGTAAATGGGACAACTTAAAGTATCGCTTGTTACAGCCAGGGTACGCACACATGAAGGGACGTTTTTCATTTGTCTCACTTGCTGATCGGACAATAGTTGGAGCTACTCCTGGCACCCGTCGGACATCCTGCAATGACAGAGATTTGCTAACGCAATGTGTATGTTCTCAAACTTTTACTTAACATATTCAAAGACGAACAATCAGAGGCACTTCTCCAGGACAAAGAGATACTTAAATATATTATACTGCAAACAGGCAATTTTATTTTATTCTACATTAACAAAGTACAACCTTAGTATACCTTAATCTGTTCTTTGCAGAGTATTGAAATTATTTGAAGGTGAAATACAGTGAACTCCACCTGTTAAATTCTCTGACCAATATTTATATAGAAGATTAAACAGACCACATTCTGACCTCATGTATAATCACACATTCTGGAAGAACACTCATTGGTACATGAAGTAGTTTTAGGCTTATATCAGTGTAAGAGATAAGACCATGAGCCAAACTAGCGTTCTCCTCTTTATTTTAAATACTCATGGGAAGTTAAAGGACAGGATAAGTAATGTATTGGGTTAATACAAATTGGTAAAAAACAAAACAAGAAAGACTGTCTAGGTGGAGCTGGTGAATAGTTCAGCCTTAATGCATTTTGGCCACTGTCACAATGTTCCATCAAAGATGATCTTCTCCTTCTGGAATAATTAACTTCCTTAAACAATGTCAACTGCTTACTTTTATTCACTCAACAAAAGCTGGCTCACGAGCCTATATTCTGAGAGCTTGTCACTGAAAAATGACTTGTTAAACTATACATAAAAAGGAAAAGGAGAAAAGATGCTATCTAAAAACCTTGATGTATGTTGACAACACAAAGCAACATAGAAGAGGCAGATATCATGTAATGACTTTGCCATCAGTTTTAAGATGGTATATCTTTTACAGTGGTATTTATTGATGATATGACTGTTTTAGAAAGGGAGGAAACTAACTCCCATGAATGCTAAGTTCCTTCCAAATATTCGCTAATTACTTAGTCATTAGGAAACAATCACTTATCATATTTTGTTTTAAGGAAGTATGTTTGAATTAGTAAAGTTTCAGAAACCCATAAAAGCAAAATGTCATCTAACACTTTCTTTTGCGTAGTTATCAGACATAGTCCAATGTAACCACAGAAGCTTCACACGGCCAAAGGGATTGGAGCTACAAGTTGGAAACTGCATCGTATCTTTTGGACTGTCCTGAGAAGCTGGTAAGGAATATTGCCTCGCAGATATACTTTAGAAGAAGAAATAAACAATTTTAAATGACTGTGTCAGAAAGAAATCTTACATTATACTTCAATGGCTTCAGTGAAGTCTGGACACTTATGTAAAGCATTTCTTGATAACACAAGGAAACCGCAAATCAAAGATGGATTTATAAATACCAGTGAAGTAGTAAATGAACATTATAAACAGGCAGCAGTTTTACTTTCCTACGAAGAATGCTCTACTATACTCACTTGTATGCCTCTAAAAACTCCATGGGTGTGTATTCTGTATTGGGCCCCACAGCTGTATAACATGGGAGCGCTGTGGTTCTCATTTTCATATCCTGCTGTATGGCTGTAAATAAAGAGGGGAATAATGGAAAAATGAAATATTTTTCACTACTCAGCTCCATGTGAGGGGGTTCATTTCTTAAGTTGATGATAACACTTGCAGAGTTCACTTTTATAGCCAGGATATCCAAGTTCAAATGAAATTCACCAAAGGAAGCCTGCCCTGCCTTCGTATGGATCTGCTCCCGCTGGCACAATGCTCTGACTCTATACATACATATATTTGTATCCATTAAGACAGTGCCGGTAAAAAAAAAAAAAAAAAGGTCATGATTTGAACTCTGATGTATTTCCACAAAGATTTTAGGTAAGAGGAAAAAATCCACATAGCAGCATAACTGTGTCATGTGCACATGTACACATTATTTATCAGTTAAATGTGGGGCTGCCTATTGCTAATATCTTTTGGAATGAGCAAAATGCCTCAAGTTTCACATTAAGTGCAGTGGATTTTTGTCAGCACCTCATGACTCAGATATTACCAGATACTACCAAGAAAGTGATGACATTTATAAGAATAGCAGTCATGTCCTCATAAACAGAGATTACAAATCAGTGTCCAAACTATTTATCCCACATATCAGCTTGCAGGATGCGCTACAAATTAACCCTTTATAAAAATAAAATAAAAACCCAAAACCTGCATGTCCTTACTAGGTATAAATTTTCAAGACCCCTCATGCAGCATCATCACAATAATTTTAAAAATTTGTAGCCTTCCTTGTGTTTTGGGGGTGTCACAACCATATGTTTTATCTAATTATGTTCTTCAAAATCCTATGTTATCCTGTCCAGAATGTTAGGAACATTCCTGTGTTTTCCGTTTGCAACCTTCTTAATGTCAAAATTATGTAAATAACTTTTAGTTTTTATTTTTAAATGAGTATGTTACATTAGCGTGTACATTGCCACATGTATTAATATACATTGGCAACAGTAAGTGTTCATGTTTTACACTGCACTAGAAATTAGAAAGCCCAGAACAAAGCCCAAGGGCACACAGCTAGGGACAAAGATGGATACATAGGATGTTATCCCAGTCTTTGCCAAATGCTTGCAATAGCAATTTGAAGGGGTCCCTGAGGCCCAGACTCTCATTTCACTGGTCCTTCCTTTCTCTTCACTCAAAGTTCATGTGCAGAGTAGAATTACAAGGAAGTTTTAAACCTCTTAAGTGATTTGCAGAACAGCCAGTGGAACTGGAATGCGGGAGATGTCTAAACGGTTTGTGAACCTGGCTAAACAGGAGGGGAGCAGTATTAGTGAGCAGCTCTTACTGCAGTGTGTGGGTTGCATTCCTCGTTATTCGTCCCCAGAGCGGCTTGCAGGCTGCCACCTGGCAGATGTGTTCCTTTAGATCAATTCCTTTGCTGCTTAAAATACTAGTTTCAGACCCTGGCTCCACCTGGCTATTCAAATCAAAGGCTACACCTTTTAGGAACATACGCTCTGTTTATTTCCATATTAAGTGAGAAACAGGTGATCATAATGAAATAAGTTATAGGGTGGCAGCAAGAACGTATCTCTGATCTGCAGTAATATTGGTAATACTAGATAAAGGAAGATACCATTATCTGATTTAAATGGATTAAACTCTTCTCTAGATACGTACCATGTCCAACTAATTAAGGCCTCCTCTCTTCTCAGGGCCCAGATGTGGCCTTTTGTTGCCTAATACAAGTACGAAATTTCATTGCTATTACCATTTGTTCAATTTGAGTTACCCACCAGCACTGAATTTTCCTCTCTATTTAAAGGCAGCAAAAGCACCCAACCCGTGCTGATACCCGTGTTGATCACAAATTAAACGCTGCATTTTAAAACTGAAATCAAATGAGAACTACCATTTATAAGGAGCAAGTTCTGCAGTAGGAGTTATTGCTGAACTGTAACGTAGCAACAAATCAAGGGGAAATATGAACTTCACCATTAGTCACCCTGAGTACCCGTGTAACCTCTCATTGACACCTGCACTAGCAACCTTACACATTACAATAAATAAGAGACACAAAGTTAGATAAGAAGAATTCCCAGGCCAGAACTGACAGAAACTTTAGGAGGAACAGGAATACACAGTAAAAGCTCATACCATAAAACGCAACCTAACTTGCCCTCCAAATTCACATGGTTTCCATCTTTCAGTGATAACTGCTTTTTTAAAGACCAGTCAGTTCTGAAATAATTCCTCTCAGGAATAAGAAGCCGAACAAAGATCCTGCCTGTGCCCTAAGGAATGGCTCTAGGAATGGGAGGTATCCTCCAGATGATCTCTATCCCAAATTTTATTGCACAGTTGGGAAGCCTTCCTCAGCATTCAGCCTTATTTCTAGTTATACTTCACTAAAACTGTACATACAACTCCAAAGCCTTGAAGATTAAAACCCGTTTTCCGAGCCTCTAGTCCCATAATATACTAAGTAATGAATAGCCATCTACTTAACCAGCTCCCTAGGAGAGATGCTTTAATAATCAGGAACCCTAGTTCCCATTTTACATTGGGCACATTTCCATGAACGTTGGCTGGTACTCAGCATGGTCACATGGATGATGACAGCAAAATGGATCACGTGAGAGCTCTTGGTTAAAATACTATTTATTCACTACGAAGCGCTATGGAATAATCTGACCTTCAGGGAGATAGAAATGAACAGGTGAATGTTCTTTCCAGTCAGTGGAGAAACTGGAACACTGAAGGAGGATTTTTCACAAACGGGCCCTACACCGCTGCTCCCTTGAACTTCAGCCTTCGCTCTGCAGTGATAGTAACCTCATTGTGAAATCCAATTTTTTTTTCTTCCAACCTCTTTACTCAATGTATCCGTGATGTATGGCACAAAATGTATGCCACAGTTTGCACAGTTGGCTTGTTTCATATTGCTGCAATTTATATACTAAAATAAAAGCACTGATAGAAGAACAGATATAAATCTCCTAAACACATTACTGAAACTCAAACACCTGCTTTATTGCATACAAGAGATAACGATCAGATGCAACGCGACATACATAGGCAATACAAGTAACTGATGAATTTATACCTGCAGTACATTAACTAAATGGAAATCTTAAGAGGGTAGGAGATCCTGTAACTTTCATCTTTTCTAGTCAGGCCCTCTATGTTTAACTAAGCAAAGAGACAGTGCCTTATACGCTTAGGTCACCGAATCTGTAAGTATAATAATGAAAAATTATCCTGATAGACTCTCGGGACTAGATAACAGCCTAGATCTCCACCAAAGCACTGCAAGGTGTACCCTGTGCACCCCACATCTGCTAACAATATATGCATTATAAATTAAAAAGAAAATGCATTAGAGATTACACTGCACTGTTCAGATGAACAGTGATAATCCAGGGAAGGCAAACACTGATACTTCGGGAGAGACAGGCTTCTGGGACCAGGACCCACATGTTCACTCCCAGCAGGATGGGCTGCTCAGGCAACACCACAGCAGCCTGGAGAACTGCCAACGGAGCCGCTCGCTGCCCTGCTGCAAGTGCGCTCACAGCACGGTGGAGAGCACGGCCAAAGCTCCTACGCTCTGTCTTCCCCTGCTCCAAGGGCTGAGCCGCCCCCAGGAGAAATTCAGCTAAGGCCAGGGGGATAATCAGGGGGTGAAGAGTTGAATTAACCAAAGAAGAAAAGGGGGGGGAAAAAATCCCCAGTAAGACCCAGAGTTATAGTTAGGAGAGACACTGGACTCGTCCCTCCACAAGTCCTAAAAGGAGTCAAAACTAAACAAGGCTGGACGCAGCCTAACTGGCCTGCCAGGATCCAACAGAACTTTTTGTTCGAGCAAGGACTGAAGGATTTGGCCTCACATTCTAGTTCTGCCTTTACTTGTAAATATACAACTCCCTTAAACTTCAATGGGAACCGCACAAAGGCAGAAGCGGACTATAAATATTTAGAATTTGAGTTAGTTGGTGAAAAAAGGACTCAGTATATTTTGTTCTCTGGTTCTAGGCAGCCAGAAACAGACCTGGAAACACAGCCATAAAATGTAACTCTAGATAACTGGGAAACAAAGACTGATACTTATGCAACATAAAACGCTAAGCAAGCGCTACGTGTTGTGGAGCATTTAGAAGCGCTTGCATTTACCGTTAGCCCAGCAAATCCTTCACACTCGGAGAGTAGCTCTTTTAAAATGATTAATCTCAAAGTTGTACAGATTGTACAAAGATTAATAAAAATGAAGGTTTTACAGATGAGAACGTGTGATGAAAAACAGAGCAGCTTTAGAGAGTTGTATCAATCTAAGTGGTTATAAAAAACTCATAAAAGATGACATTCTAATCTGAATATTTGAAAAAATAATCAAGCTGCAATTTCTCTCTCACACCATTTTTACTTTGTTAAACTGAAATTGTCTGTCTAATGTATAAAGCAGTTACAACTTAATCTGAAGAGTTAAGCTTTTTATTATTATTTCATAAACCAAAAAAGGGAAGCTTTCGGGCATACTGAGGAGAGGTAGAAAAATTCAGATGAAACGTGAATACACATTGATTCATGAGATTCAGACTTGGAAGAATAAAAAAAGCCAGAAAGCAAGATTACATAAAACAGGCACCACATTAAGCCTCAATTTAATTGTGTTTCAATGCAGGAACAGGAATTTTAGGGTTTAGAAACGGAGCCAAAAATGAGGCAAAGTGAGGGTGTGGGCTAGTCCCGTTGATAACAGAACATAAAGGAAGAGAAGTAGAGTTAATTCCCTCTGCTAAAATATTTACCATCCTAGCACCCTGGGAAAAATATGTATGGAGACAGCAAAAAGATTCTGATTAGTTATATAGAAGATCATGTTTCGGCCTGTTTTTTGTCTAATACTATTACGGAGGGTAGAGTATAAAGCTGCATTTTTATCTGCAGTTTCCAAGGCAAAGGAATATTAAAAAATGGGATTTCACAGATTACAGCCCTTCTGCCATCTTCAATGAGAAAACCAGCTGGCTGACGAAAGGAAGGCACTGGATTTTCAGGGGATCCTAGTGTCTCTGACTTCAATAGTCTTTGGTTTGGGGGTTTTTACCATTGACCTCAATGGAATCAGGATTTCGCCCAACACTACCCTTCAAAACGAGACCCTCAGCTATCAGTGGGAAAGGGGAAATTCAGTATTAGAGACAACAGGTCATTGTCCATTTCCAATTCATGTTGATTACAGAACTGAACCCAAGTAGGAAGTTTTGCACCTCCATTTTACTAATAATACCACCAAAGCTAAACAGAAAAACCTTTACAATTCACTCCTAGACAAAATAAGCTTCACTGTCTTGTTTTAGATGCAGTTTTAACAGTGTTCTACAGAGATCATACCTAATTTTCCTTCCAGTGAGCCTGAGCAAACAGCAATAAATACAAATTTCCATGGAACATGCTGACTATTTAACAGCCGACCAAAACCAAAAGGGAAAAAAACAAATTTTGTCTGGTTTCAGATGATTGTTGGAAATAAGGATCAAAACTTTTTACTCAAGCAGCTGAAGAGACAAATACATAATATTTCTGTTAAGTCTCGCTGTTGGGTATGTGGCTACACTTCCTGTCAAATGTACCATATCATTTCCTGCTTGGTATAAGTTATTTCCATGTCACTTTTATACAGAACTCATCAAAATATCAAGGAAGGTTTTACAGTCATGAGGTCTACCTCTGCAACAACACTATGAAGAGAAGCAGTATTTTCCACATTGGACAAATAAGAAAGCAACACAAAAATATCAAGGACAGAAACTGAAGGGAAAGGTGTCCACTAATGTGGGACATCCATTTTAAGATGTCTGGGACCTGAGTTCTCAGGGTGATAAGTAAAGGACTCACTGACTTTCCTGCAACAGTATAAATCTGATCTCAGCTGTTACAAACAAAATACCACAAAATAAGGAACAAACCACCAGCGAACAGTCTGAAGAGATAAAATCCAGTCCCACAGTGATGTTCACCACCTTAACCATGAAGTTTTCCTTGCAGACCCTGGAAGCTGCCAGTTTGTGTGACAGTTCTCGCAGACGAGCCAGCCCTCCCCCTTGTCTACCCAAAGTTCAGAAGGTGACAGAGAAGTCCCTGGACAAACAGGCAACACGTAATCAACGCATTAGCTCACAAGGCACTAAATGTGGATGGGTTGTAAGCACAACTTGAGCTCAGCCTTTGACACGCAGATCCTAAGTGAAAACCTACAACACAGATTCAAGTCATTTGGACTATATGGTAGCAGTAGTGGGTTGTCTTCTCCAGGGATAACTTCTTGCAGAGAGAAGCTTATTTTGGTCTGTCAGACTTCCTTTTGGTTTGCCAGCAAGTAGAAACATCTAGAATTCAATTTTTAGGACCTACTCTGTGTTCTGGAGTAGTCTGGCTGCAGTCTTTTCTGTCTGCTTCCCCATTTACACCTCTCTCCCCTTCCCCTGACGGTCTATCACGTTCTTGTATTCTGCCAGAATACAACATCTCTGTTCACCTTCTGCGTCTCTCTCCACCACTTAGCAATGGCTGGTCAGAAACTCTACTCCATACCTTTTACTGCCCACCTCTGCTTGACACTCAGGCCATGCCTTCTGCAATTCCCTAATGCTTACACCTACTGCAAGCACTCAAAGACTAAAGCCCACAGAGTTAAAGAAACTTCTTGCCCTCAGTTCCAATCTCTGACATTAAATTATCCAAGGAGGAAAAAACATTCAGGGAAAAAAGTCTTCTGAGGCCTTAAAGCCGTAGGCTGGAGCAGGCTCTGGACAGATAAAATCATTTGATAGTTTAGATCCCTGGCTCTTGCTTCTCATCACACATGAACAAGACTGTTCATAAGCTTGGAGCTCAACAGGAATGATTTTCACAATGACGGAAAAGGACACAGCTTTGGCCATCTGACAATATTCCTTGCCAAATTTCAAACTTCTAATCTGGAGTGAAGAAATTCTGGAGCTGATCAGAGAGTTCTGAACCAGAATGCTCTCAGATGAACCGCTAGATAACTTAAGCATAGAAGCTGCTAACTAACTCTACCTGAAATGCACGGCAACAGCTTCATCTCGGTATATTAAACATGCTGAACATGAACCCAGAAAGCAAGCTACTGAACTGGTCTACTGTCAAGTATAAAGTGTATGACCCACCAGTTTTATACAATTGTAGAGTTCTGTAACTATTTGCAGAACTTACTGGTAATGTTTTCTTCCTTCTTATAATGTGCAAAAGTCTTACCAAAGCCAGGAAGAAGTACTGCAGAGAATTCAAGGAAGGGAGCTAAACAAGGACTGTCATCATTGGACAGAATCTAGAAGCTCCATATTTCAACAGAAGGATTGATTCCAAAATTCTTAAATTACAACTACAAGATTGAGAAAAGCATCTGAAATACTAAACGCCTGGGAATCACTTATGAACAGTTCATATATTTTAAAGATGTAAATCTTGGGAAGAATACCTTATGTTCATGGCAACTGAGATTGGAGGTACTGTGTATTGTAACTCTCAGCCAGAAAAGACAGATAACTATTTTGGCTCATATTACCAGTGATGAGGCTATGTCTAGCACTGATTTTCCACAGATTCTACAATCTTGGCCTATACCAAAACTTTCAGCTTTGTTTTACCATAGATCATTCATCTTGATTTCTCCCCCCCCCCTTCATGCATCCTAGGTCACATACTTTACACTGCTAACAGTCTGACTCCTGGGCAAGTAAGAAGCCATTTATTTTGTTCAGTACTCCTTTAATATTTCTATTGTGTCTTTTTTTTTTTTTTTCACTGAATTCCCCAAAGAATAACCTCTTCCTTGCTTTAATAACTTGGACCTCAGTCAAGGTTGATGTGTTTCTCCATTTTGCAGGATATTTTCTTCAGAAGAGACAAAACAGTGTCTAATATTGCAATGACTGATCTTTAAAGGGTACAGTTTAAAGAGGAAATCAAAAACACTTATAAAAAAAGGTAGGAAATAACCCTTAAAAAGAGAGGATTGGCAGCAAAGACACTGAGCTGTACACAACTGTAGGATTTGGGGATCTTCTTAACCACAAGAGAGTTTCTTGACAGATCTCTCTAGGCTCAATTCTCTAGTTCATTCTGATTAGGTAGTTTACTATGCTACTATCTTCTCCCTCTAACCTTCAAACACCATTTGTGAATGAGCTAGGAGCAGACCCATAATATTTTTTCCTTTATCGCACTACAGCACTATACACAAAGTCCATCTTGCACAAGGTTTTCACATTTATGGACAACTACATGAAAGCACAGATCTGCCTGGGCTTTTCTAGATTTCTCCTGTTGTTCACATGAGGCTGTTAGTACACGCTTAGACACTGAGGACATCTCAAAGCAAGTTGGTGATACCTACCAAGGTAGTTTTGATACCTAGTTTTCACAGCCGATCATCTACTCAGAGCAGAGCAGGCAATCTTTGGCTTTGTCTTGGCTAAACTCAAAAGGTGCTAAACTCTTTTGCTCAGGGCAGTGAATGTAGATGAAGCAAGGTGAAGTTACTGCTGTGCACCAACCCAGCGGGTCTTGGTCCTACCTCATGCTACCCTGACTGCCTCAGAGGACAACCCACCCGGAGCAGGACCACTGGAGGCAGTGGGCACAGGCTGCCGAGCAGCCCAGCACTGGCACCCAGAGCTCCCTTCTTCTCCCGTTCCTCCCCCAGGCGGCAGCCGGGCTCCCCCGGGGCCGAGACCGGCCC